AAAGCGTAAGGTGGCCTTTTCATGTGGGTTCTGGGGGTTATGGTTTGTCAACTGAAAAGTGGCAATACCTTTTTGCGAAGCACCTACCTTCATTGGTTAGGGTTGAACAATTGGTGTCAACATGCTGAGCTTTTCGCCGGTCCCTAGGCATAAGGGGAGGTTGCTGCCTTATGGGCAACATGCTGGAATGTGGTTTACCATTCTATGAGGCCTTAGGGCTTACGACGGATAACCAGCATGGGCAGCCTTAGGGAGAGTGTAAGATTCTCCCAAAACCACTTGCAGCGGGCGTGGAAACCCGACTGAGATCTGTATTCCCCCCTCCCTACCTGCTGAGAGAGAGCAGGAGGACGCCGACACGAAGCACGACCAATGGACCCTGTAGTATAGCACATACCCTTTTCTTCGCTCTGAAAAGAGCCAGCTGAAAAGCTGTTATCTAATCCCCTCTGCCGTAGCCATGCCGAAAGCCAAACCTTTCATCATCACTGCCAAGCACGAGCCGACAGGCCTGCTTGAGCGCATCACCATCCACAACACGCACAAGTTCGACAACGTTGGCAAACCTCGCCGAATTGTACGCCCCACCATCAAGCCACTCATTCACCGCCCCTTCAACCCTGAACGCGCTGAAAAAGCGAAACACGACATCGAGGAGCTTGCACTTCGTGCGCATCTCTTCAAGAAGCAACAGTTGCTCGATCGTATCTCCGACCCCGCTCCCCCCCTCATCGATCGCATCGATATGCAGGCGGGACCCTCCTACGAATACAAACCACCCAAGCCGCTCCCCGACATTCACTTCCAGCGCACAAAGATTCTGTTGTGCACATCCGAGTACAACGAGATGTTTGCCGCTACAGCCGACAGGCTGGAGCCGGTGTTCGCTCGGATGGAAAAGGAAGAAGGAAACTTGGAGCCGGAAGTTGTGGCAAAGGTCAGGAGGATGGGCGATGGGTTCGACGAGTTGTATCATGGGCTGGAGAAGAAGGCGCGCCGGCTTACCAACAGGCACTGGAGAGTTATCAAGCGCGACCTGAAAAGGATCGGGCATGTCTCCTTCGAAGACTTAAGCAGTCGCCTGCTGGAGATTTGTAATGAGTTGGCTAGCCTAAACATCACCTTCAAGTACGAAGTGTAGATAGTGGAATAAAGATTGGCAATCTTTTCTGGCATAATTGGCTTATATGGCATGAGGAGGAGATCTCCTTCGCTTCACTTTTTCTTTCAATCATAAGTGAATACGGGCTAATCACTACAATAAGAAATGGCCCCATACATCCCCTTCGTTCCGACCGAAGCATTCGCTATCGCCACGGAAGAAGAGTGGCACAATGCAATCTTCCAGAACGTGAACGTCTCTGACGAACAAGCAGCTCTGCTGCAAACGGTTACTGCGAATGCTGCAGAATCAACCACTGGACGAGTCAGAGACTGGGTTGGTCGCCTGACCTTAGAAATAAGCAGGCACTACGACGGATACCTTCAGAGCCTCCTTCGAGAGGTTGAATCCCTGCACATCACGGTCCAGAACCAGCAGGCGCTAGTCGATTCCTACAAGCGACAAGTTGATGCACTACCTGCATCAACGGGTAGTGGTCATTCCCGTCAACCTAAGATTGGGGAACCTCCGGCATTCAAGGGCAGTGAGGATAAGACCAAGCTTGAGGAATGGCTGGACCTGATCGTACTGTGGTGCGAGCATGAGGGAGTGGCCACCGACAAACAGCGAATCGTCACGGCCCTCTCGAAGCTGCAAGGACCAGCTCATCAGTACATGAAGAGCTACTACGTGAAAATGCGGGAAGGAAAGGATCTGGGCACCTGGAAGGCATTCGTGGCAGAGCTTGCCCAGATATACGGGCAACACGACGACAAGGAGGGTGCAAAGAAGGAGATCACGGCACTGTTCATCAATAAGGATCTGGCCTCGAAGGACTTCGTGAAGTACGCTGAGAGGTTCCGCACCCTCAGACGTCTCACGGAGTATGACGATAGTCTCCTCATCGACAAACTCCGGGAGGTTATACCTCGTGACATGCGGTTGGTGTTGGCCGGAAAGGACGAGTCCACCTTGCCAAAGGATTGGACGTTGTTCCTCGACATCTTGCTCAACATTAACAAGATTGTCAACCCGGAGAAGGCGTGAGGCTCAGTATTCAAGAACAGTGGCTCGGATAATGGCGGCGCTGTTCCCATGGACATCGATTCGGCTGAAAAGTCGAAATCAAAGGGTAAAGGCAAAGGCAAGGCAAAGGACGCTGAGGCCGCCTCGACAGAGGCAAAGAAGTATTGCGTCATCTGCAAGTCGAAGACTCATAACACAGATGATTGCTACAAGTTGGCCAAAAATGCGGACAAGCGGCCGAATACCCAAGGGGATGGCGCTAGGAAGGCGCAAGGAGGAAGCGGTAACCCCGCAGCCAAGAAGGCAAAGAAAACGCGGGTTATTCAAGTCGAGCTTACGGATAGCGAGGACGACACGCCCCCGTCCGCGAAAGCCGTGAGCGCCAACACTGCGAGAATCGAGGAGATTGCGAACATCGAGGAATTGACTCTGGCTGGGAAGGATGAACCCCAGCTGTCTGCAAAGACAGAACCCATCGCAGCTACCTCGGATTTTTGGAAGAAGTACATGTGACTACCTGCGAACATGTACTTAAGGAATCGGAACCCACCGTCGGAATCAATGTAGATAGTGTATACGGCAGTCTTGTAAATATCTCTCGCAACAAGAATTCATTCACTCTGCCTGTGACACTGTGGGTATACGGAAAGAAAGTGCAGGTCGAAGCTTTGGTAGACTCAGGGGCCACAACATCGTTCATCAATCGGTCAGTTGTTGAAAGTAACAGCCTGGTGACGCATAAGCTGGCAACCCTGTACAACGTTTATAACGCAGACGGGACCTCCAATAAAAGCGGTCAAATAAATAAGTCCGTTAGAGCCTACGTCGAAATAGGATCACACAAGTCGACACACCCACTGCTAGTCGCAGATTTGGGGAGTAAGGACATGATCCTCGGCATGACCTATCTCAGGAAACACAATCCCGAGATCGACTGGGCCAAAGGGGAGTGTAGGTACACCAGGTGCCCTGAGAGCTGTGCCCCCAAAGCTCGTAAAACTAATCATGTGACTGATGAAGAAACCAACGAGCTTCAGTTACCAAGGGAGGAACCCTTAGTCACTCCGCTGGACGCCTTAGGAGAGGAGTGTACTGAAAATCCATACATCAACTGGATCTCGACAGACAATCCGGAGGACCTACATATGGCAGAATTTGTCGCAAGCATTCTGAACAAGGATGTTGAGGAGGAGGATGCGGACACCACTAAGTGAAAGTCTCTCATCCCTGAATATCTACATGAGTTCGGGGATGTATTCTCACAAAAGAAATCGGAGTGGATGCCGGAGCGCAAACCATATGGTCATGGTATTGACTTTGAGGAAGGAGCTGCCCTACCTCGACCGGCCAAACTATACCCGATGTCTCCGAAAGAGAGGAATTCTCTCGACGAGTGGATCGACGACGAACTCCGAAAGGGGTATATTCG